AACGGTACATTTTTTTATGGCAACAATGTAGCATCAAACAGAAATTACGTACACAACAAACATTTGAATGAAAGTGAGTAAAACACTATATATCTAATCCTTAAATTGGCATATTAATCATTGCTGCTGAGTAAAGTTGCTTGCTCAAGCGCACTGACTATGTATAATTTCAACATGTCACAAATACATTGCATGGTTTAAATATTGAGCAAACGAAAGGGGGTTGAAACTTACGTCCACGAAACGGCAGCGAACACATCTACAAATTTGAAACGCGTGGGAAACATGTTCGCTTTAAACCTTGCTTCGAATAATCTGCTTGGACTTTCCATGAGTAGCACTTTCGTGCCTAATCTAGGCGAATCTCAGAAAATTTCTAAAACTGTTTCACGTACATTTAGGTTGTCAGTGCATTTTCATAGAACATAGATAGCACTGTAATATTTACACAGTCTTATTTACTAGGAGGAAAGTAAAATTTATTAAAGTTTGTTTCAACAATCACGAAATCGTTTAAAAACAATATCAAAAGTGATTCTAAACAACAAATCATAAAACAAAAAAAATTGTAGGAATTCAGCTATGAATGTCAAGTTTCCAGTCTTTGTGAAGCAATGTCTTTGGCTTTCGGATGGTTAAAATCATTGCCTTGTTATCATAGTTAAAATCCAGAGGATGCGCCTTATAGTCTAAAAGAAAAAGACGGATGAAAAAAAAGAAACGCTGTAACAATGGCCCGCAACTTTACCTTCGTAAAACAGATGCACTACGCGAGGATAAAACCTTAGACCGAACACCCAGATTTTTTCTATCCACACGTCTGAGGTCATCTTGCCTTGAGGGTCAAAATTTCTAATAAACAAAGTTTAAGAAAATAAACGTAACAAAACTAGGCAGTTAATAAAACTGAATAATTTTAGGCTCATTTTTATTACTTTAACCCCATCAAGCATGAAGTGTAGAGACTGTGGAAAGCGAACAGTGATCAATGGAGGCATGATATGGAGAAAGTACAACAGAATCTGTCTGAGAAGCCACTTTGGTTTTAATAAGAGTTGAAAGCGACCATGATGCCACCACAAAATTTACGTCCTAAACAAAAAAAGAATTTAACTGCTAACGCGTATCTAAGCCTATTGGCATAATTTCGCAAAAATCACATTTTTCTCTGAGATGATTTATCGGACGGCAGCTCATGAACGGAGCAAAGGATTTGGCTAAAGTTCTGAACGAGTAGACATGAATCGATCTTGAAGCAGTTCTCAGCGACATTTGGACAACGCATCATTCAGTGAATGACTGCTATTTGGCCAGGGTCCTAAGCACACCCTGCCGATAAACGACCACTACACGAGTTTAAGTCCACCTTACTCATATGTGAAAAAGTATTACAACGTGCATAACTGCTTAAAGACGGGATGCGCGCGCAGGCAAGATCCTGCGCCACTCTTATTGGTACATGAGCGCTTTACCATACGACAGTCATAATGCGATAATTTCCTGATCTTCTTCGAACTGCCCTCATGTGAGATGGCCATACACGACCTCGTTCATTCAGTGCTGGATAGCCATATCTGAAAGTCCGGCAAATCGACCAGCAATGATACTGTGCCGAGTGTTCGGCCGTATATGCCATCAACAAAGTTCGTGGTATAACACACAGACACGTGAATGCAACAGCTTTGCTAAGCCGGTCCATCGACTGTAGATTAACAGAAACATACTACTGCAAAGTGTTATGAGAGTTCCTTAACGAAGTGACATAACACTGCCACATTGCTACATCGCATACCAATCATGTGCTGATAAGACTTCATACTGTGGGCAGTGAAACGACCACATTTTGTTTATGATAGCATTTCATTGATCAGATCAGAGAAAAAATAGAAACAGTAATTTAACCTGATTAATTTCAAAGTTAGAATGGACTGTGATCCTACTGATTAAATCTATTTCAAAATCTATATCTAGCATATTAGTTAAGGAAATCTATTACCATATTTTCTCATCGATAACGCACACCTTGTACATTTTTATGTTCGTCAAAACGCATAGATAACGCGCATCAAATAGATACCGCGCACCTTGTAATATTTAAATGTGAATGGCCATGAAAATGTACAGATAGCGTGTAGTCTATTTCTTGTCTGAGAAAAGGCAGTTTTTGGACAAATGAATAACGGAATAATGTAACTGGCTGTATCTAAAACAAACGAACAGAAGAATTAAGAGTCGCCATATTGTTTCTGGTCTTTGAACACGTCTATTCTGCAAGTGTTGTTGTACAAATCGAAACTGGCTACTGAGAAAAATACTCATGGAGAAAAAAATTACTGTACGGTGAAAATCATATACAGCGATGTTTAAGTTGGAAGCCGCTAATTTCGCGAAAGAAAAAGGGAACCATGAGGCAGCCAGGACATTTAACGTTGGAGATTCCAGTGTATGTGAATGGAGGAAAGAAAATGCAGTTTTAAAATGCTTATACGAGAAGAAACGTGCATTGAGTCACAGGAGATGATTCTGGTCAGAGCTCGAAAAAACACTTCTCGGGTGGGTTCTTTTACAGAGATCGAAAGGACATAAAATGTCAACAACCAGCATTCTGCTGAGTCGCAGAAGAAGACAAAATAGAACATTTCAAAGTTTATCCATCCTGGGCTTTTAGATGAATGAAACGCAACAATTTATGTATTCGTTCATTCACGAGCATTGGAAAAAAACTACCTGATGACTGGGAAGCGTAATTAGAGAAACTGAGACTTTACGGTATAGAAATTTGTGGCGTGGATCCTGTACAATTTGTAATATAGACGAAGTGCCCGTTAGTTTTGATCTTCCTGGTTCAAAGACTGTTAATTTAAAAGCATCGAAAGAAGTTTCCGTAGCCACGACCGGGTATGAGAAGCCGAATTTCACTGTTGTGTGAATTGCGACTTCCGATGGTGGGAAGCTTCCTCCCTTGATAATATTTAAGAGAAAAATGATGCCTAAAGGAAACGTTCCAAAAGACGCTTTGATTGCTGCGAACGAGAAGGGATGGGTCCATGAAGATATGATGAAAATGTGAGCTGAAAATGTTTCGAGAAAAAGAAGTCAGGCCTTTTTCAATCCAAAATCGTTGTTAAAAATGGACTCTTGCGTGCGCATATTATTGACGATATGAAAGGGTTAGTAGGCAAGTATTCAAGATTCGCAGTTATTCTGGGTGGATTAACAGCAAGATTCAGCCGCTTGATTTATCCTTTAATAAAGTCTTTTAAGTCAAAGTTGCGCTCCAGATGGGAAAAGTAAAAAATGACTGGAATTAAAGGTAAATCGAGAAAGATTGAACAGGTGTAATGTGAAGAAATGTGCAAAAGGGTCTTGAAAGTTAGCAAGATGCTACGATGCCTTGCGTAAAAATGGGTTTTTAAAAGCATCAGGCGATGTACTAGATACTACAATGCCAGAAACAGAATTACTTTCAGAAAACGAACTGAGTAATGTACCTGAAGAAATTGTAAATGTTCTTTATTCATTTTATATTGGTTCAGATGAAAAGTTTTATCGTTTTGAGTGAATTTATTGTAATGCGCATGTACAGTAAACGTTATTTAACGTTTTATTTTTATTATTTTGTTATATTAACTCTTATATTCACTGATACCGCAGTACTAGTGGTTACTGGTTTTAAATGCAGTTTGAAATTACCGAGTACATAGGTAAGTTCAAAAATTTTGAATTTGAATTTATTTTTCACTGCACAACGGACACGTTTTTTACGTTGATGAGTTTTTTTGTATAGATAACGGGAAAATACGGTGCGTGGGATTTGCTTCTGGCTATGGAGCCTATCATTTTTGAATGAGGGTTCCTTACAGATCTTTTTGTCCATGAAAACACTTTGTGCATGTTTCAGTATAGCCCAACAAGTACATAAATAGCTTCTTATTGCTAAATGCTTATGTAATTCCATCAATTCCATAATCAGTTCCTAATCAGTAGGGAAAAATAGACTGCAAACTGGTGTACAAAAAGTTTGAAAAGTGCATCAATGAGAGAGAATGACTTCGCGTCTTCCCATAAAAAATTTCCCGTCTTATTTTTTCATCATAATTTGCTGATGTCGCTGTTGTTCGCAATGTCGGCTCTACATAAAAGCTTCTGACTTTACTATTTCTTAAATTTATTGAACTAAAACAATCATTCTTAATCATTACCACTGAATGATAGTAAATCTCCGAGAACATTTTTAGAGTTTGTTTACAGTGAGTCATACCTGGAATATATGCTAGCAAAATTTCCAGTGCCAACGAACTCGAAAAGTCGATAGATGAACTCGCCGTTCCTGTAACCGTAAGTCGCCCCGTCGTCCAAGTACAACGTACCGTTTGCTTGATCAGCCTGAAGCGTATGATACAGAGATCAAAATCACTCAACAAACGCATACGTCAAGGTTTAGTGCTACGTAAAGCGACAAAGGATCATGTCGCGACAGGCTCGATGCACGTCTGATTCTTTCCGCTACCGGCAAAATGGTGCCGCCACGAATGAAAACTGGGATCTAGAATTAGAAAACAATAAAGGAACAAATATTATACACTAATATGCTCGCTGCATCTTGTGCCGGGCTCTACATCGTACGACTGGTACTCTCCCTCAGCAAACAAGACCTACGCAAATTTCGATCAATTCTGAAAACTGTCAATGCCGGTAAAAATCCCGGATGAGAAAAGAGGAATTTTGGGGATTGTGGCGAAGTCACCCACTTTTGCCATCTCTTTTCATGCTCTTGCGTTTATCGGATGTCACACTGACTCTGCCCTCACCCGAATTACCAAGCACTGCGCAGGTGGTTGGGGAACTGAGACTGACTGCGAAAAGTCAGCGAACAGAACGGGCCTCTTGCGTTCTGGCAGGCAAGAGAAACAAGGTATTTCATAAGATCATCCGCCTCTTCGGAGTTGAAAAGAACGGCAGTCTAAGAGTCCTGAGGGACAAGCACGGGTGTCCTCTTACCAAGGATGAGGACATATTTCAGAGAGAATAATTTGAGGAACTCATTAATCACGAGCAACCGCAAAAAGACATGCCTAAGGAGCTGCAGGCAGTGGATATTAGTCTTTCAGTAGACAGTCACAGAAGATGAAAAATGCTTGCAAAGTGAAAAGACTGATGAAATCCGCCGTGACGTGCTTAAAGCTTTAGGGTACATTAATTTTAAAATCTGCTTTCCAAAAAATGGACTTTTCATAATTCATTTTACAAGTAGATAAGCAAAAAAGCTTAACATGAGTCATCTGAGTAACTGTAATACTAAACTATGCACTGCACAATGTTGAAAAAATCGTAACTGCCATGAGACAGAAACTAACTGAAACTAAAAAAACTTCTCCAAGAGCGGAATACACTGTCAATAAACTGCTTGTACTAATGTCACGCTACACTAAAAACATACATTTAACTGATCATGTACGTGAAACAGCGACCTTACAGAATATTAAAATATCGAATAGACTTAAATGTCTTGAAGCGTAACGAATGAAGTTCACAACTGCATTTTATCAAATTACCGTTTTCACGTCAAGCATAACATAACAACTACAGCGCGTGAGTAATAATTCAAATTAAGCCCGTATCAGTAGGGGAAGAGATGTACAAAAGTGGAAGATGAGACATGCCGCAAAGTGACAAAGCGAGCAACTCAAATGGTGATCAGCTGAGCAGCGAGCAAGCATGCACAAGCAAACTTATGTGAACTGAAGCAGCTGAAATGGAAATCAGTATTTTCAAATGCAGCAACTGCTTCTGTGACGATGGAACCACCGGCACACGTGTAGAGACATAAAAAGTTGTAGTATTTATCACTGTCTAAGTAATCAAGCTGAGTGTTGCTGATTTGTGAAAGAATGCTCAATAATCATAAAGATCTCGCATGTATGTTACATGATTAGATCTACCTGCGACAATCTACTTTCATGCAGTTTCTGATGCGTGACTGAGCTTCGCTGCGATTCACTATACCAACAGTGCCCTATTATGTGCGATGCTACTGTTACGGCCAGGTGAAAATTAAGGCGTATAGACCTGTTTCATTGGTCTCTCTCTGACGTGGGAAAAACGAATGGCACAGTTTGGA